TAATACAATATATTAATATATTAACAGAATTTTTATTGCACAAAGTATGTTTCATATTTATAATACTATATTATATACGATAATTCGTATTGTATATTGCATTGTATATTGTGTATACAATTTGTATTTTATATTCATATTTGTATTTTTAAATATTGTATTTATTGTGTGCAATTTATAATCGACGTTTGTCATACTATTACACGTACATCATTATACAAATATATAACACTTGTCCTAAGATTCAATCTCCGGATGGAAATTTCGTGCTGCAATCGATGGCGTATTTTACAGCGTAGAACCGAGTTCCTCTAGAAAAGTCTAGAGTTTCCTTGCAAAACGTGATGTCGCGTTTTGACATCCCCTAATCGCTGGTTCATTTCCTCCATAAGCTTGAGAAGAACGCGCGAAGCTGCAGTCGCTGAATATTAATTCGCAAAACGATGTGAATTAATAACACACACACACACTGACAATGAACTTCGTTCCAACGCGGTGTGATTTATGCTCGATTCGTCGCCTCGTTAATTCTGCTGTGCTTCCAAGCTTCCACATGGCCGACGGGAGAGAGAAAGAGAGAATGCCTATGCCTCGTTTATGGCAGCGATAAATGCGGAATACCGCGAAACAGTAATTTCATTGAGCCGCGCGTGATTGAAGAAAACGATCGCATTGACCCTCAAAATAATGCGATTTATCTCGCGCAACCCGAGAAAGAAGAGCAGAAATAGCCGTGATTTGTGCACTTTTCTCAAAGGGGGAGAACATATTTGCTCTTCTCTACTGTCTCGCCATTGATTAACACGCTCGCTGAATCAACGAAACTTCCTTTCATTCGGTACGAATTTTCTCCCAAACGAGGATAACAGGCGGTGATAAATATTTATCGAGTTTCGAGAATTTCGCTCGCAGTACGTGTAACAATAACGATAATAACAATAATGATGGTAATAATTGTTATCGACGACGACGATGGTAACTACCAATAGTAGCGAGAGTGACGATAAGGAAACGTGAAAAAGAAAAGCCGACAATTTAGGGGAAATCGATTATCTGTATTCTATATTCACAGAAATCGTCGTGGCAGTATTTTACGTTTTGCTCGAGGGGAAATGTTTCTCGCAGAGTAATTCCTCCTTCTTACGAGGCTATAATTATTTCCTGCACGAAAGTGCGAAATACTTAGTTACCGATCCTATATATTTAAAGCGAGCAAAGTAATTTCAAAGTGAGTAAAAGTAATCTCGAAGTTTAAGTTACATGGTAGTTCTCGAAAGGGAGAAACGCGCAATTTCCGATTGTGAGAGCACTTCGCCGTTTAGAGAGAGAGAGAGAGAGAGAGAGAGAGAGAGAAAAGGTTATAGTTCCGCTCGACGGAGAAAAATTTTAAACAATCTATCCAGTTATTGGCCTTTGGGATATTGCTCATTCGAGTTCTTTTTTTTCCCCCCTTAATTCACAAGTCTTTCGGATTATCAGTTGCGATAAACAGACGTTGGAAAATGGTAAATGGTACAGGACGTGTATAATGTTTTATAGAAGTTTTATAATGTTTTTAAGGAAGTCAACCGCAGAAATGAAGTCTATTTGTTCCTTAGCAAATCTTTTTTTTGGCCACAGACGTAAGCGTGAAAAACTTGAA